GATTTGCGTCTGGGGGCTGCGAGTTGCGAAGCAGGGGCCAGAAATGCCGCTTTTCGCCGGCGAAAGGGACCGCCGCAAAAACATGTCTGGGGCCCTCTCAGATCGAGGTTGTAGCGGCCGTTGATGATCACACAGGTGATTTAGCTGGCACATAGTGCTATGAAGTGGCTATATACAGTGTACTATTGTCCCCAATGTCTTGCAGTTCTAATGCGTCATGAGAGGTGAGGAGGTATGGCCAACTTGGAATGCCTCCCCTCTGAGCCTTATGCTACTAACTCAGGTCAGATATAGCTAAATTGGACTATCCGATCATGTAGGAGCTCCATTTTATAAAAATCGGACTCCGAGATAACACGTCAAATCGGGCGGAAAAATATTTAAAAAACCACAATACAAGTAGTCATTTTGATGCTGAAGGTTGATAAACTTTAGTGGAGCGTAAAGTATACTACTGTGAGCTCTCACACGCGCCAGATGTGGTGGAAGCCGTACCTGACCACGGTCCAGATGATCCAGTTCGTGCTCATAAACGCACAGGGTTACCTCATGGTCTCGCGCTTGTGCCCCGGCATGCCGTACAAGGTCTCGGTCATGTATCTTATCTACATCCTCTACTTATGCCTACCTAGAAACTATCGAGTTCTGATACACATTATGTAAAACTCGATCTGTTCGTTTGACTATTTCTCGCTATTTTGATCGTCTTGTGAAGACGAGATCTGAAGTACCGTGGTGTAGAAAAACCTTGACTGGCTTTTAGGAAGTTTCAAGTTAGTATCCACCTGATAAAACAATACCCTATGAAGCCTGAACCATTTTACTATTTTGGTATGAGTCCGGAGGCTTATGTTTTCAGCTAATTTGCCATAACGTTCTTATTAGTTGGATAACCGTGTCAACTCCAGTTCCATCATCTTGCATTAGCCCCGCGGATCGAGTCGGATTGAGACGGATTGAGACGAGTCAAAAGGTTTGATATGACGGGGCGTCAGATTAGGACTTTCGTACTTAGTCGGACAGAATCCTTATCTAAAGTTTTTAGAAGTCCTGACGGGAACACGAGAGTCGATTTATGGTATATTTTACTTTAATCAAGTCAAACTAGCGAAAAGTTCTAATCTTAACTTTTTTCGGTCCTAGTTTAACACATATTAGGCCTGAGGACTATAGTCCTAACCAGACGCACCCCGCAGATTAGAAGATTCTTTACGCTCCACTAAAGTTTATCAACCTTCAGCATCAAAATGACTACTTGTATTGTGGTTTTTTAAATATTTTTCCGCCCGATTTGACGTGTTATCTCGGAGTCCGATTTTTATAAAATGGAGCTCCTACATGATCGGATAGTCCAATTTAGCTATATCTGACCTGAGTTAGTAGCATAAGGCTCAGAGGGGAGGCATTCCAAGTTGGCCATACCTCCTCACCTCTCATGACGCATTAGAACTGCAAGACATTGGGGACAATAGTACACTGTATATAGCCACTTCATAGCACTATGTGCCAGCTAAATCACCTGTGTGATCATCAACGGCCGCTACAACCTCGATCTGAGAGGGCCCCAGACATGTTTTTGCGGCGGTCCCTTTCGCCGGCGAAAAGCGGCATTTCTGGCCCCTGCTTCGCAACTCGCAGCCCCCAGACGCAAATCGGGGCAGATATAGTTTGCTTCCCTGAGCCCCTCCTGCTAAATCGGAGCCCTCCAGCAAATCGGGCCCGATATATCGGATCTTGGACCACCGATTTGCCAAAACGGATGAAAGCCACAATAGTGTTTGCAGTAATAAATAACAACTATATACTTAAGCAGATCACTAAAGATCATAACGCTACTATTCTAACACTACTACTATTTTGCTATCCTTTCTACTACGATAGTGATACTAGCAATCGAAAATTACTATTCTCGACGTTCGTGCCGAGCACGCGTACAACGATGGACACATGTAGGTCAGGACTATGGAACGGTTCACAATACGAGCGCCAGCTCCTATTCAATTTTAACCTTTACAGCTCACTACACATGCATAATGTGATTTGGCACCTCTCTTCAATCGATCTGTCGATGTTTTGAATCTACCAGATCGTCGTCTAAGCCAGAGCAGGGATGGCCTGCGGGTCCGTGTTGAACACCTCGTTCGGGTCGTACGCGGTCTTGATCTTCTGCAGCTTGGCGAAGTTGCCGCCGCCGTACAGGTACTCGGCCATCTCCTCCACCGTCCACTTCTCGTCACGGTACGTCGTGAAGCCACCGGGCACGCCGCCCGAAGCCTTGTAGGCGTCCACGAACTTGTAGAAGCTGTTGCGCATGGTCGTCATCGTGCTGTCAGCGAACTTGACGTCGAAAGCCGACGAGCGCATGTCCCAACGCACCAGGTGCAGGTTGTTGTCGTGCTTCCAGGCGGAGTCGTCGGCCTTCACGCCCTTGGCGTACTTGCCGCCCCAGATGTCCACGAAACCGGAGGCCGAGGCGTCCACAAGCTTGGGAGCGAAGGCCGTGTTGGAGAACAGCTCCCAGGCCGTAGCGTTCGTGAGCGGCTTCGAGCGGGGGATCGTGACCGATGCGATGTAGAAGTAGCGGCGAGGGGTGAGCGTCTGATCCACGAGGCCGGGGGTCGAGATGGCCTCCGACGCCCAGAAGTCGTACTCGTTCGTCTTGAGCACCATCGACGGCGGCAGGTTCTTCATGAGCGAGTCAAACACCGTCTTGGCTTCCGCGCCCGAGCCGTAGAAGAAGCCCTGCAGCTTCGACTTCACGTTGAGGCCGAAGCGGATGGACAGCAGGTCGCTGTTGTCCTTGCTCAGAGCCCACGTCTGCGTGCCAACGAGCGCGTCGACGTTGTCCTGCTGCGTCGGCTTGGCGCTCGAGTTGAACTCGATCGTGTAGTTCGTCACACGCTGCGACGGAGGGTCGAACGTCTTGATCTTGAAGTCCAGCACCACGCCCAGGGAGCTGGCGGCACCGCGCACGCCCCAGAACAGGTCCGAGTTCTGCTTGGCATCGGCGTCCACAATGGAGCCGTTGGCGAGCGCCACGCGCACAGACTCGATGTTGTCCAGCACCGTGCCGCTGGCGCGCGAGAGGGTGCCGAAACCCGAGGCGGCCACACCGGTCATGCCGACGTCGGGGCAACGGCCGTGCGGGAGCGTGCGCTTGGCCTTGCTCCACATGTAGTTGGCGGCCTCTGAGATCATGACGGGGCCGCCGTACGACAGCAGGCCAGTGGACGCGTCGTACTCGAGGTGCTTGAGGTGCTTGAGGTTCATGATGAGAGCACCGTCGTTGCGGCCGAAGCCCATGCTCGAGAACGAGCGGTTGCCGCCCAGCGTCGTCACCTTCACACCACCATCAGCAGCGCACTTGAGCGCGGCCGACACCTCCTCCTCGTTCTTGGGGAAGGCAACGGCCGACGGCACGGGGCTCACACGCGAGTTCCACGCCTCCGTGTCGGCCTTCCAGGTCGACGTCGTGGGCACCGAGTTCTGAATGCCGGCCTTGTCGAGGCACGCGCCGATTTCGCCCGCGGTTGCAAACGCCGAAGCAAAGCCGCCCTGGGCGGCGATGAGGGAGCACAGAGCGAAGATCGCGCGACTGGTGCCGGAGATCGTAACCATGGTTCGTTCGTCTGGTGCTCGAGTGGTTGGAGACTTGAGTGCGAGACGGCAAATGCAGAAGTGATCGATCTTCGGCCATGTTCAGGCATGGCATTCGACTACTTCGCTTCCCAATGGAAGAGCCGTTTTCGCTGCGAGACTGCGAAGCTCGACCATCGCCAGCTGTGGCTTTCAATCCAAATGTCTACGATACGGTCAGGATGCGTTCCAGCGGGTCGAGCTCAAGATCGTGAAACCGCGTCTATCGCGCAGCAGCGATGCGACGAGCGCATTAATCGGCACTTATTAGTTTGTCATATGCTCGCTGGCACGAATTTCCCGAGCATTGCACAGTTCCCAGCCAAGTCTGGCGCGACCACCGACAGCAGGCGGCGCACCTGTTTCCAGTGAAGCTTCGTCAGGCAAACACGAACGCCGTGTTTGGATTGCGTTTGGGAACTTATCGTCAACACTACATGTATTGCTGTCTATACAAGTCGATCGTGCGATTTCGGCGAAGTGGGGAGCAACATTCCCCTCTCCCCGCTTGAGGCTTCACAAGTTGTGATTCACAGCAATTATACTACCGATAATTGGACTAAGCTTTGATGCGGTGCTCATACATCGATCTCCACGGTATCCTTATCATGTAATATTACGTAGATCGTCGATCGCCGACAAGATACGCCACGTGATTTTGCAGCAGCCCGATGGTCGGTTGTTCTTACACGAACCGCACCAACTTTTGCCATGAGCGAGATGAACTCCCGTGGCAATAGCTGAAGAAACAACACGCAAGGCCCCCTGCTGAGGTAGGCATGGTTGACCGAGCGTGAGCGCGCTGTCAAATACTCGGACGGAATAACCTGTCTAAGGAAAATATTAATACAGGGTATTTCGAAGAACCGAACGGCTTTCTTGGCGTAGCAGAAGACTCAAACTGCGATTTTACGGTTTCGAGTACTGCTTTTCGGTTTGCTTACTAAGGTGTTGGATTCGAGATCAAACAGGCCAGGCATCAAAGGTTGATATGAATAACTTGATATAAGCTGCAAGCCAACCCAAACACTGTCATAATGTTGTCCCCTCCATTGTTATCTTCGGTACGAAGCAGTGTACTGCACCTTCACATTTTGGTGCGCGGGGGGTCTGTCCGATCGATCGATGAAGTGCGACTGGCGAGGAGAAACAAAAAAGATGAAAGATAGACTCATACAGATCGGAACATCGTCATAGCTCATATCCA